CCACTCAGTTCTGCTAAGGGTAAAGGGCCTGGTCTCTTCCTTAGGTTTCTAACACTGGGACGGGTGGGACAGATGAGACCCACCCCTCCTGCTAGGCATCCTCAGGAGACACCCAATACCAACCATCTATCTGTATGGAAAGCCTGGCCTTTGACAATGAGTGGCCTTCTGCCCCTGGGCTTTCCTCAGGCAGGTCTACAGGCCGCTATCCACCTATTTGATGATGCTCTCTGGGTGTAAATAAGTCAGGACTTTATGTTCAGTCTCTAGGGACTGATGGGGACAGGGATGTCAAGTTGTTGGTGGAAACATCAGGCTCCATTTATTTAGACCTGCCTTTCAGCTAGCCAACGAGCTGGCCCCCTGGCAGGGGTGCTCCATGGGGAAATCATGCATTGAAGGGGTGGGGAAGCAGTTGCATAGCTACCTGTTGCCATGGCAACCATCTGCCAAGCGCCAACTCCACACCACAGCCCTTGAAACAGCTCTGCTGTCAGCTTTGTTTTTAATGGAGATTGAATCAGCAATGCAAGGTTGTGCGGCTCTTAAGTGGCAAAAACCAGAATTCAGTTTGTGCACCTTGGCGTCCCAAAGTTTCTAGTATGATCACAGTTGTTAAAAAGTGTGTCTAGGGTCTGTTGGGAATGATGGTGGACTTTATTATAACAAAAGCCCTGAGCTTTCTTGAGAGGACGTCATGGGGAGCTAACCTACCAGAACTCTCGGGGGTGTCACAAACATGTCAGCAGAAGAAACCAACACTTTTAGTGTATTTCAATTTTTCAAAGGTCTTTGGAAAATGCCAAAAAGGCTTTTACATACTTAGAAAAAAATTAATTTTGCCGGCATGCTTTATCATGCATAGGAACCTGTGTACGGAAAAGAAGATATTCTGAAGAATAAACATGTGTTTTGCATGATGGAAAACTGTAAACAGTGGGATCTCAAAGGGATTGGTGCTGGAAGAGTCTTTACTTTCCAATTAAAGATACAGAGAGGAAATACATGGTGAAAATTCCAAGACTACAAGGATTTTTGTGGAATAAGACACCAAATTAATGGGATGCATATGTTTTTTGCTTTGGTTCCCAAATCATTGCTAACAATCAGCATTTTATTAGCCTGTTTGCCACAGTTAAGATGCAATGCATACCTATTGTGTACTCATGATGTGCCAGGCGTGGTGCTAGGTACTGGTGTGTATGTGGTCCTCTGCTTTACAAAAGTGGGATTATATGGTTTGAACACTTGCTGGTTTACATACATAAAAATCACTTTGCAAAGAATGACATTGAGGCATTTCCAAATGTTAATGTCTGTATCAAGGCATTTCCAAGTTGGTTACCTCTTGTTGGGCTTTGCCATTATTTCTGGATTACAAATAGTGTAACAATACAGCCTTACACATCCTTGTACTGGGGTATTTGCATATACGGACAAATGTTTCCGAAGATGATTAGCATGAAAAGGGAAATTATTGGGTCAAAGGACATATGCATTTAACTTTGGGGGAGATGCTGATGAATTGCCTGCAGAAAAAAAGTTGACTTCAATTTTAATACACCAAAGCACCTGGCAATGCCTATTTTCTCAAACCAACACTGAATATTATATTTGTTTCCTATGGATGCTGTAATAAATTACCACAAGTGTTTGTTTGTTTGTTTTAGAAAGCAGGATTTATTAAGAGGACAGAAAAGCTCCCACAGTGGGAGGGGACCTGAGGGAGTTGCCCAAATTACCACAAGTTTAGTGGATTAAAACAACATATATTTATTATTTTCTAGTACTGGAGGTCAGAAGTCCAATCCCCCTGGACTAAAGTCCAAGTGTGGGTGGAGCTTCATTCCTTCCTGAAGGTCCCAGGAGAGAGTTTGTTTCTTATGTAGCCCCTTCCATCTTCAAGGCCAGCAATGGCCGACAGAGTCTCTGTGATATCTCACGTGGCATGACTCTGACACTGACTCTTCTTCTACACTGTTACTGTTTGTTATAATTAATTAATTTAGAGTTGGGATGCCACTGTCTTGTCTTCCAAGCTGGAGTACAGTGTCATGTTCACAGCTCACTGCAGCCTTGACCTCCTGGGTGCAGCTTCAACCTCCCAGACTCAGATGATCCTCCCACCCCAAAGACAAGGTCTGGCTATATTGCCCAGTCTGGTCTTGAATTCCTGGGCTCAAGCAATCCTCTCTCCCAGCCTCCCAAAGTACTGAGACTACAGGCTTGAGCTACCACACTTGGCTTTTGTTCCCATTTTTAAAGTACCTTATGATGACATTAGGCGTACCCGGATGACCCAGGATTATCTTCCTATCTGCAAGTCAGATGATTACCTGCAACCTAATTCCCCCTTGCTATGTAACAGAACATATCCAGAGGTTCCAGGGAATAGGATGTGGACATCTCTCAGGGTTGGGGGGAGTGCATTATTCTGCCTACCAAGGAGATGATCAACCTTTTAAATTTTTTTCTAATCTAAGGGGAAAATGATATTCTGCTCTTTTAAATTGCATTTTTTGACGATTTCATTGGTGAGACTGTGCATCTTCTATGTGAAGAGGCAGAACAATTTCTATTATTATAAGTTGCCTGTTCATGCTCTTTGTCTTCTTTTCTACTGAGCTGCCTTCTTTTTTTCTCTTTTCTCCAATTGAATGATGAATTCCTTAAGGGCAGAGACCTCCTCATATTCACCTTTGTGTCTCCAGTGCCTCAAAATATGGCCAGATTCAGAGATGGGATTTCTTGACTGTGGGTGCTTCCTCCCTGCCAAATGTCATCCCTCCCACTCCATTTGCTTGCTATTCTGCTTTGGAAGGAATGTCAGGAGACTTCCGGCTGAGCTGCCCGAGTGGAGTCTGTGTATAGGAGGGTGTGGTGGGCTGAGACAAGGCATGTCTTGTGGGTTGCTCCCAGCCCCCGTACTTCTCCCACCATGGTGGGTTGCTGAGAAAGTAACAGGAACAAAAGCATCACCAGCAGCTTTTGGGATGGAGAGTCCCGGCTGTGGCGCTGCTAGTACTTGCAGTGTTGGTCAGAGCAGGGGGTGCCGAGCCCTGGGAAAAGACACGCAGCAGCGACCAGGCACAGTCGCGGATGGGAAGGGTGGGGCTCTAGAGAGACATGCAGAAGGGTAATTTTAGGTCATTTTCCAGGGTGTCAGGCCATGTGATCTCCATTGACATTTTTTGATAAATTTACAGTAAAGACTCTAATTGCTTTTCAGTTATTCTGGGGTTCAGACTTTACCTCTTCTGAAGGCCTGGTGAGCACAGAGCCAGGTGTCTGGTGGTGACTAGCACAAGCCCAGAAGCACAGAGGCCTTCACACTGGCCTCCTCTCGTCATCCTTCAGAGGGACCTGTGGGAAGATGGTGTCCCATGATGGCCCTGAGGGTCCTCCGGTCGGGGCTTCCTTGCATGGTGAGCAGAGCGCGACGCTCTGAGGTATGGCAGGCCGGGAGTCGGTGTCCGGTTGGGGTCACAACAGTGCTATGCAGAGACCAAGGCTGCAGCTGCCCTGAACCAGACACTTGTTGTCTCAGACCCTACGGTGCTGGCCAGAGGACACCCAGACCTGGACCTGGGACGCCAGCTACTTCCCAATGATGGAGCCTCATTCCCTAGGCCACCTGGCCAGGGCCTCTCTGCTCGCTCTCGTACTGCACAGTTGCTCTGGGCCCAGGCCTTCTGAGACCCTGTTTGCAGCCTTCCCTGTCCATATCTGTTGGTGCTGTGACCTTAGTTCACAGAGCGGAGGAGGAGATCGCCCTGGCCACTGAGGTCCCAGCCTGCCCAGCCAGGCTTTTCCAGGGGAGCAGATATTGGGCTTCACACCTGCTTTCAGAACAGAGGGTGCCCTGGATCAGAGGGAGCAAGCAGGTCCTTCCCACCCCAAGGTCCTTCCAGAAGGTTTGCTGGGGCACCAGAACACCAGGCCTCGGGAGAGTTTCTTTTCTGGGTACTGCTTCTGGAGCTGTGAGTCCTCCTGGTTCAAGGACTGGTGGTGGAAAGAGCTGTCTGCTCCAAACTAGCTGCAGTTTCTCGGGAGCGCCCTCTGCCTCTGTGAGCCTCCATTTCCCTGCTGGCGACATGGAGAAGGCAGTCCCTGCTGCCTGCTGGGAGAAGTCACTGAGCAAACTCAGGGACATCAGTACTGCCGCAGCACTGGCACGGTGTTCCCTCCTCTTCTGTCCTCCTCTCCTAGCTTTAAAGCTGTGGGTTCCTAGGTCTGAGCCTGACAGCAAGTCTGGAACCTGAAGCAGCCCTGCGCCTTCAGTGAAGTGACCACGGTGTCCTAGACCACGCCCCCCTCCTCTGCAACTCGGGCCTCAGGGGTGAACAGATCCCCTTCTTCCTTCTCCCCTTCCTTCTCCAGCTACATGGAGCTGGCAACCATAAGGGGAAGTCACCTGGGCTGGGGAGGCTGGATTCTAGCCACCCTCCTCTGTTTCGAAGCTGGCAGCTGCCTTTGCCTCTTGCCTGGACCCTAGACCGGGATCTTGAGGGGGGCTCCTGCGGGGCAGGGCTGTGGCCTCTAGGGCAGAGGCTCCACGCGATGCTTCCTCTGCTGCCTCTGTTGGGTCTCCACAGGCAGCAGGGCCCCACGAGGCCCAGTCTACAGCCCTCCCTATGCCGTCGGGCGGGCCTGGACCTCATTAGCACTCTTTATTAAACCCATCTGTTCCACATTGAGGACTAGCCCTGCGTCCCTGTGCTCCACCCTGGGTGTTAGATGGAGGGGGAAGACTGCGTACAGACAACAACTGTATGAGTTGGGTGTGGGATCTATGAGGCCCTGGGCTGTAGCCTGCGGCGAGAGGCGCCGAAGAACAGCAGATGTGTGGAGCTAGGAGCGACGGCATCCAGAAACCTTTCCTGGCCATCCTGAGCCTGTGGGGTCACAACTGGGGGGTGAAAACGGGCCTGGCCCTCTCAGAGCACAGCGGGCCTACTGCTCTGCATTGCCCTGATGCGCTGTCCCCTCCCGTCCCCCAGGAGTGCATCATCGACGAGGACTGTGGGCCCAGCAAGTACTGCCAGTTTGCCAGCTTCCAGTACACCTGCCAGCCGTGCCGGGACCAGCAGACAGTGAGTGTGCCCAGGACCTTCAGGGATGCAGCACCAGGTTAAGGGGACAGGAGAAGAAGGCCAGAGGCCCCGGGACTCTCAGCTGGGCTTCCTGGAAGAGCCTCGCAATGATGGGAGGGGCCGGGAAGGAGCATCCAAAGAACCTGACCCATGAAATGACCAGGATGTTTTCTGATCCAGGATGGTAGGAAGTTATCTGCAGATCTGGGGTCACCTTCACCTCACCTGTGTCCTCTGGTCATGTTGTCTGCCTCATTGATGGCAGAGAAGAGGAGGGAGGGAAGAAAGAAGAAGAGACCCTAAACCTGTACCTTTTTCTGGGGATGACCCATCCTAGCGTGTGACACACACACACACACTCCTGCAGCCCCCGGGCAGGGAGAGGGGCACCCTCTCTCCTCCTGGACCTGCAGCCCAGAAAAGCTTTCTCCCAGTCTTCCCAGTAAGAGAGAGCAGAGGGGCCTGGAGGAGGCCAGAGCATTTCCCTAATGGAGGCTTCCCTTGGGGAATGAGAAGCCAGGGCAGAGGAGACTTTTTCCATCACCCAGCAGATATTTTGCACAAAGCCACACAGACTCACAGATTTTTCTTGCCATTTTTCCTTATTCAGACAACACAGCACACTAGTAGGTCTGGAAAATAAATGGACTTTTCCTGCCCCACCTGGCCGTCCATAGCGAGGCCGCTGCTGTGGTACCTCCCGGCTGACCCCGCTCGGTGCCATCTCTGGGCACAGCTGTGGGGACCTCACTTTGATGTCTAACCGCCATGGCCCACACGGCTCCAGGATGTGGCACCTGCCTGTTATTCCCATCTTCGGTTGACTTGGGCCTTTGTTTAATCAGCTTATCAGAGTTTGCTGCTGCCTTCATCGCTGGGCCTCGAGCTAGCCCACTCCCCGACCTAGGGACCTAATGAAAAAGGGGAAGACAGAGGTCTGTGGGGGACCACAAAGACTCCTGCTGTCCTTTCAAAATCTTCAGCTGCATAGAAAGACTCAGATATGTGACTCCCGGGTGCCATTTTCCCGGTGTTCTGACCTCACATCTCACCAGTCAAGCTCCTATCTCTACCCCCTTGACTTCCACTGAAACCTAACCCAGGACCTCGGTCTCCGATCTGCAGCGGGAGGGTGTGGGTTCCTCCATCTGCAGCGTCTTCAGGCTGGCTGGGGACAGTGACAGGCCGGACTCTCTTGCCCCCTCTCTGCAGCTCTGCACCAGGGACAGTGAGTGCTGTGGAGACCAGCTCTGTGTCTGGGGTCATTGCACCAAGACGGCCACCAGGGGCGGCAACGGGACCATTTGTGATAACCAGAGGGACTGCCAGCCTGGGCTGTGCTGTGCCTTCCAGAGAGGTGAGTGGGTTCCGCTCGGATGCTGGAAAAGCCCTATCCCAAATGCCACCAGCCTGGGCCTCCTGAGGCCGAGTCATGCCAAGCACATGGGTTCTGGTTCCACCGCCTGTTCTTTTGCTGTGAAGTGCCCCCTTCCACTCTCACCTGCCACTCGTGCTGCCTCCCAGGTAAGGTCTGCTCGGGCTCTGTCTGCCCCCACTAGGGTTTTTGGGCAACTCTACACCACCTCCCCAGCCCGGCTAGTCCTCCTGGTGCCCACGGCCTTGGTTATCCTCCCAAAGGGCAACTTTTGGGTTGCTCCCTGGGGCCCCCAGCAGCTCCTGCTGCTTCCCACTCGGCTCTGACTCCTCAGTGTGACTCACAGGGCCTCCCCAGACCCAGCCTATGACTCCTTGGCCCATTTGGGAATCTCCCTGGCCCCGACTTTTTCCATGAAGCCCATCCCGGGCCTTTGTGGGTGTTATGTCCGGGCCTGAATGCCTTTGCCCCACTCTGACTTTCTCTAGACTTTCTGGCTCTTGAGTCTACCTCTTCCAGGCAGTCCTCCTGCTTCTGCTTTCCCTGATCACTCCCTCCTGAGCCCGCCCAGGCTGCCATTCTTGTTTCCCCTCATTTCGCTTCTTCATACCTAAACTGTATGTTGGGATTGAGGCTGGAAGGTGGGAGGTTGTACCCCATTTCTCTGCTCCCTCCCCTTGGTGCCCTCCAGGCCTGCTGTTCCCTGTGTGCACGCCCTTGCCCGTGGAGGGCGAACTCTGCCACGACCCCGCCAGCCGGCTCCTGGACCTCATCACCTGGGAGCTGGAGCCAGATGGAGCTTTGGACCGATGCCCATGTGCCAGTGGCCTCCTCTGCCAGCCCCACAGGTGAGACTCCCCCACCCTCCCTATGAGGGGGCTAAGGGCAGATGTGCCATCCCATGGGGACGCAGGAGCAGGTTTTGCCTGGGGGTGAGGTAGGTTCCACTTGGGACAGGTTTAGATAAGAAGTCCTTGGGCCATCCAGATGGAAGGGTCCCGACAGCAGTCAGGTCTGTATATAGGTCTGGGGCTCAGGAGATGGCTGGCCACAGGTGCAGATTCTAGGCACATCTAAATGATGGTTGGAGTTTCGTGAATGGGTGGCCCAGGGAGAGGGCATGGAGGGGGAAGAGGCGGGGCCCAGGGAGGGAGCCCAGGCCCCTCACAGTGATGGATAAGCAGAGAAAATGGCGCTGGCAGAGGGGCAGAAGGGAGACTGGGATTGGTCCCAAGGTGGAGGTCATCACCCACAGTGTTAAGGCTGCTGAAACATGGGAGGCATCAGGGCTCAGCCTGGCCAGCTTCCCAGGGCAGGGAAGCTTCCAGTCCTCCCCACAGCCTCTACTCAAACTTCTCTCCCAGCAGAATCCAGGGTGGCTGGGCAGACAGGTGGAACTTGTCTTCTGCCTCCACAGAGGCCCAAGCCTCTTGCGTGTGGCTAGACAACATCCCACTGTCAGGCTGCCTCCTGCCTGGAGCCTCAGATGGCAGGGGCTTCGGGGGGAGCCTTATGCTGCAGTAGACCCCTGGGGGCCTGCCCCTAGGATGCTGGGCCCACAGAGTCTCAGGAGCTGAGGCCTGCAGAGGCCCCTTAGCACATTCTCCCAAGGGAGCCTCCCACAGGAGTCACGTTCAAGGTAGATGGCAGGAAGTGAAGATTGTTGAAGAGACAGGCCAGGAGTCTGCAAAGTAGGCAGCCCAGCACGGTGCTTTCTCTGGGGCCTGGGCCTCACCCCTTCCCATGCTCCCACGATTCAGGCCCAGCCTTGCCCATGTCTCCCCAGCCACAGCCTGGTGTATGTGTGCAAACTGGCCTTCATCGGGAGCCAAGACCAAGACGGGGAGATCCTGCTGCCCCGAGAGATCCCTGACGAGTATGATGCGGGTGGCTTCATGGAGGAGGTGCGCCAGGAGCTGGAGGACCTGGAGAGGAGCCTGAGCGAGGACCTGGCACTAGGGGAGACCGCCGCCGCCGCCACTGAGCTGCTGGGGGGAGAAGAGATCTAGTTGCAGACCAGGCCACGGGTAGATGTGCAATAGACATAGCTAATTTATTTCCCCGGTGTGTCCTCTAGGTGTGGGCTGGCCAGGCTTCTTTCCATGTCCTCTTCCTGGTAAATTATCCCTCTAGCTTGGCAAAACGAGGTGCTGTGTATGTGTCCAGCTCCCCCAGACTGTGCTCCTGGCGTCCCAGTCACGGCACTTGGGCAAAACAGGCAGCAGTGAGGGCAGGACCAGTGGCTCTGCCACGCTCTGCGCGGCTTGGAAATTGCTCACGGGGAGAGGATGGAAAGGATGCGGAGATTCCCCAGGATGCCTTTGGGGAAGTGAAGAGCGCCCTGCTTTGCAAGCATCCACCTGGCAGAGATGCCACAAATGAACTTCTCACGCCACTCCCTTCATGGGCACAGGCGAGCCGCACCGTTAATTGCTGCAGATGAAGTGTTCTGTTCACTCTGCGTGACATGCATTCATCCCATCAGCGAATTTGCTCAGCTCCTACCTCTGTGCCAGGGCAGCATTTTCATATTCACTCTCTCACCATAGCCTGGGGACGGGGTAGGGTTCTCCTCTTCCTTCGGGGATCTCAGAGGCTTAGAGACTGCAAGCTGCATGCCCAAGTCACACAGTCAGTGATGGCCAGTGTAGGGTCACCCAGGAGTGACTCCAAGCTCAGTGCTCGTCCCACTACCCCACACCAGCCTCGGTGCCACCAAAAGTAGGAAGAATGGGATTTTTCTTCTTCTGAGGCACGTCTGGAATTAAGGCCAAACTAGTTCCCACGTCCCCATGAGATTAAGCTTCTACTGTTAGAAATAGCCGTGTTCTCCCCAGCGTGGGGCAGCCATCATTCTCTGGCAGTTGCATTAGTAATGTTGAAGGAATGTGATTGGGCATGGTATACAGGTTAACTTGCGGAATCAGTACTTAGGTAATTGGAGAGCCAGGATTAGAAATGGCCTTTGCAAAATCACTCAGCAGCAACTGAAGATCATTATCAACCACATGGAGACACTCAAACCAAGCAAGGCTCTGTGAAATATGGTGGTCGTACCCAGACTTTGAACACCAAACTACACTCCATTCACAAATGACATTTTCAGGTGCCATGGGCTGTTTCCATCATGTCTTCACCCAGAGTTATTACATTTTAAAGTTGCACTCAATTGTATAAGCATGCTTTCTTTGAGTTTTAAATTATGTATAAACACATGTGTTGCATTTAGAAGTCAAGCATAAATCACTTCAACTCCTTTTCTGTAGTTCTTGGACTTCTTTTTTCCTTTTGACTTTGAATAAATATCAAATCCTTTGAGCCAGAAAAAGTAAAATAGGAATGATCTATATTCCAGCCTAAGCAGTATAATGAGGGCTCATCTTTACAAAACAACAAAAAATTAGCCAGGCATAGTGGCAGGGGCTTGTAGTCCCAGCTACGTGGAAGGCTGAGGAGGGAGGATTGCTTCAGCCCAGGGGATCAAGGATGTGGTGAACTGTGATTGTGCCACTGCACTCCAGCCTGGGAGACAGAGTGAGACCCTGACTCAAAACAAAAGAATCTCCCATAGAAGCAAGTTTTTCAGATAGCTGAAGCACACCTCTTTCAGCATCAAACTGTTTTTGATATCTTAGCCATTATCTGAATGACATTTAGTCAGAAGAGTGTAAATGCAGCCAAGCGTGGTGGCTCAGCCTGTGATCCCAGCACTTTGGGAGGCTGAGGCAAGAGGATTGCCTGAGCTCAGGAGTTTGAGACCAGCCTGGGCAACTTGGTGAGACCTCATCTCTACATTAAACCACAAAAAATTAGCTGGGCGTGGTGGTGCATGCCTGTGGTTCCAGTTACTTGGAAGACTGAGGTGGAAGGATCGCCTGAGCCCAGCAGGTCGAGGCTGTGGTGACCATAAGCGTGCCACTGCACCCCAGCCTAGGTGACAGAGTGAGACTCCAACTCAAAAAGAAGTGTAAATGTTTCAGTGTCTTCTGAAAGAAGTGGAGTATGTATGACTTTTTGTGGGGAGCCTGCTTTAACCACATGCAGTGATAGGTAAGATCCTCAAGGACTATGATAATAAAGCTCTATATATTCAACCCAGCTGAGTGGCAGGCCCCAGGCTAGGTGCTGTACCCATATCAACTCATTTAGTGTACATTGAACTCCATGAGCAAAAAGATTGTGATAGAGCTAGAAGTCAGACAAAAGCAGCATCTACCATACAGTATGTCCAGCATATATTATTTTAAGATCAAATGGGGGACTGTTCTCTATTCACTGTCAAAAGCCACTGGGAACATTTGACAATCCTATGACTCAACAGATATGTCCTGAGAGCCTGCTCAGAACCAGGTGCTGTGATGTGCTTTGGGGGTGCCAAGTTGACCCAGATAGGACCCCTACCCTGAGGGTATCACAGTCTAGTGAGGGAGATACAGCTAAACCAGCAATGACAAAACAAAAGCAGTCAACCCAAAGCCTCAATGGAGCACTTGGCTTGGGAGAGCCCAGCCTGGGAACTGGCTCTCAAAAGATGATGGGTTGCTGGGCTGAGTGGCTCAGCCTGTAATCCCATGCTTTGGGAGGCCCAGGTGAGTGAATTGCCTGAGCCCGGGTTTGAGGCCTGCCTGGAAAACTTGGCGAGACCTCATCTCTACAGTTAAAAAAAAAGAAATTAGCCGGGCGTGGTAGCGCACGCCTGTAGTTCAGCTACGTGGAAGGCTGAGGCGGAAGGATCGCCGGAGCCCAGCAGGTCGAGGCTGCGGTGGCCAGGAGCGGGCCACTGCACTCCAGTCTGGGCGACAGAGTGAGACTCCAACTCAAAAAAAAAAAAAAAAGATGATGGGTTTACCAGGAAGCCAGAGGAAACAGAAAAGGGCCTTCTGGGCTATGGGCAGGAGGAAGTGCCGTCTAGGGGAAACTGCAAGTCATTCACAGTGGCTGGAGGGCAAGGCCAGCTCAAGGAAGTGTGTGGGGAGAGGTGAAAATAATCCCGTCCCCCAAAAATGATTGAAGATATTGTGGTGAATATGATAAAACCCGGCCCCTCCCTCCTGGAGCTCATAGGCAGGAACATTTTCTGCTCCTTTGTCATCACTGCCACAGAAGTGTAAGGAGATGAGAGGCGTTGCAAAGCACTTAGCTGAAGTCCACATCTAGAGTAGCTGGGGCATCTCCCTTGCTCAGAATCCACAATCCAAGTGAAATGTGGGAAGGGCTGAGTTACAGTTGAGTAAACACTCTCGGCTGCTATCTCTCAAAGCCAATAAATCAAGAGGCAGGGAGCTGGCAGAAAGAAGTTTTCTGTGTTCAGAATCCAGGGAGACAGAACCCGGCTCCTAGCATTTCTGGAACTGGTCTGCTTACCCCTTAGGTTTCACAGTCTGTTTTATAAGTTTTAGGGTTGCTGGTACATACACATTGACTACGTGACTGACAGAGCATTGTACAGAACTCAAGTTACAGCGCATTTTGTCAATGGTAACATTTATGGTCCTTATTTCCTGGAGCCGGCTACCAAAAGGTAGCTCACAGTGTTATCAGTAACACCAAACTAAATAGCTGAATAAGCTTGCCATAGAGTAAGGGAGTTAACAACCTGTTACAAAGTAAAATATTCACTACAACCTACTGCTGATTAGTAGTTATAACATGCAAAAAGCTATATAAATTACAAGGCTTATGGTATTACATGGGTGCTATATGTTCATATACATATATTTATATATTTCATAAATCTATGACCACTGATAAAAGGAAGTCACTGGGATTCATTTCTCAGTTGAGTGAGCTCGGTCTGCAGGGGGCTAAGGGTTCTTTGAAGTGACTTAACAGGCAAGGGCATGAATAGGAGATAAGGGAATGCACTTTCTTTTGCTAATTCTCAGGAATGTAGGTAAATGCAGGCCTTTCTTTAAGAGTTGCGGCAGCGTATGTTCAGACAATAGTGGGTTTCCCGGGGTAGAGGTGATGCTTGAGTATTTGCTGGCACTCTCTCCCAGATGGAGGCCCTGCCAAGAAGCCATGGCAGGCGCTGTCAGTTCAGCTACCATACCTGCTATGCCCAGCCCCACCAGTGGCTAGGGATGGCTGTGACTGAGGAAAGTCAAGGGGGAATGTGTCAGAGAGGGGCTAGAAACAGTTAAAATTATTCTTTTTAAAAAGTCAACCAGCAAGCTCCAAACCTGCCAGACATGGGACATGAGAAAAACCATCACAAGCCACTTTCCTGTAAGTGCAATATAATAATCGATTCACAACCTTACCCCTGCATCCTCTCTTTGTGAAGTTACTGATTTACAACCCCTGCTGGTCATGTATATCCTGGAAACAATTTGTTCTTTGAAAATCTGTTTTGGCTAAATACAACCTTGCAAATTCCAAAGAAAAACATATAGCCATACAACTTGATCCTCTCCCTTACCTATACTAACATATAAAACCCTTCTCTTCTTTCTCCGGGTTGCTCAGCCTTGGAGCATTAGCCTGCTGAGTTGCACTGGCACCAATAAAACACTGCTTCCCAAGATAGCCTCAGTGTCACGGTCTCTCTGTTTTCCCACATTTCTTGGTGTGTTGGCCAGGAAATGGAGTTCGGAGATGGTGTGTCCACCTCCTTTGTCATCAGGGTATGTAAGAAATAGAATGGCCGGGCTTGGTGGCTCAGCCGGTAATCCCGCGCCTTTGGGAGGCTGAGGTGAGTGGAT